ATTATGAACAACTATATGGCAATAAAAAGGGCAATCTGGAAGAAATGGCAAAATTCCTAGAAACATATACACTACCAAAACTGCAACAGGAAGAAATAGAAAACTTGAACAGACCCATAACCAGTAAAGAAATTGAATTAGTAATCAAAAATCTCCCAAAAAACAAGAGTCTAGGGCCAGATGGCTTTCCAGGGGAATTCTATCAAACATTTAAGGAAGAGTTAACACCTATTCTCTTGAAGCTGTTCCAAAAAAATAGAAATGGAAGCAAAACTTCCAAACTCTTTCTGTGAAGCCAGAATTACCTTGATTCTAAAACCAAAGATCCCACTAAAAAGGAGAACTATAGTCCAATTTCCCTGATGAACATGGATGCAAAAATCCTCAAAAAGATACTAGCCAACTGGATCCAACAATACATTTTAAAAGTTATTCACCATGACCAAGTGGGATTTATACCTGGGATGCAGGGCTGGTTCAATATCCACAAAACAATCAATATGATTCTTCACATCAATCAAAGAAAGGACAAGAACCACACGATCCTCTCAATAGATGCAGAGAAAGCATTTGACAAAATACAGCATCCTTTCTTGATAAAAACTCATAAGAAAGTAGGGATAGAAGGATCATACCTCAAGATCATAAAAGCCATATATGAAAGACCCAATGCTAATATCATCCTCAATGGGGAAAAACTGAGAGCTTTCCCCTTAAGGTTAGGGACAAGACAGGGATGTCCACTCTCACCACTGTTATTCAACACAGTATTGGAAGTCTTAGCCTCAGCCATCAGACAACACAAAGAAATAAAAGGCATCCAATAGGCCAGGAGGAGGTCAAACTTTTACTCTTCACAGATGACATGATACTCTATATGGAAAACCCAAAAGATTCCACCAAAAAACTGCTAGAACTGATCCATGAATTCAGCAAAGTTGCAGAATATAAAATCAATGCACAGAAATTGGTTGCATTCCTATACACCAAAAATGAAGCAACAGAAAGAGAAATCAAGGAATCGATCCCATTTACAATTGCACCAAAAATCATAAAATACCTAGGAATAAATCTAACCAAAGAGGTTAAAAATCTATACACTGAAAACTACAGAAAACTTATAAAAGAAATTGAAGAAGACACAAAAAAAATGGAAAAAGATTCCATGCTCCTGGATAGGAAGAACAAATATTGTTAAAATGTCAATACTACCCAAATCAATCAACATATTCAAAGCAATCTTTATCAAAATAACACCAGCATTCTTCACAGAGCTAGAACAAACAATCCTAAAATTTGTATGGAACCAGAAAATACCCCGAAGAGCCAAAGCAATCCTGAAAAAGAAAACCAAACCTGGAGGAATCACAATCCCGTGCTTCAAGCTGTATTACAAAGCTGTAATCATCAAGACAGTATGGTACTGGCACAAGAACAGACATTCAGATCAATGAAACAGAATAGAGAACCCAGAAATGGACCCACAAATGTATAGCCAACTAATCTTTGACAAAGCAGGAAAGAATATCCAATGGAATAAAGACACTCTCTTCAGCAAGTGGTGCTGGGAAACCTGGACAACGAACGACATGCAGAAAAATGAACCTGGACCACTTTCTTACACCATACACAAAAATAAACTCAAAATGGATGAAAGACCTCAATGTAAGACAGGAAGCCATCAAAATCCTTGAGGAGAAAGCAGGCAAAACCTCTTTGACCTCGGCCGCAGCAACTTCTTATTCAACATGTCTCCGGAGGCAAGGGAAACCAAAGCAAACATGAACTATTGGGACCTCATCAAAATAAAAACTTCTGCACAGCAAAGGAAACAATCAGCAAAACTAAAAGGCAACCGATGGAATGGGAGAAGATATTTGCAAAGACATATCAGATAAAGGGTTAGTATCCAAAACCTATAAAGAACTTATCAAACTCAACACCCAAAAAACAAATAATCCAGTGAAGAAATGGGCAAAAGACATGAATAGACACTTTTCCAAAGACATCCAGATGGCTAACAGACACATGGAAAAATACTTGACATCACTCATCATCAGAGACATACAAATTAAAACCACAATGAGATACCACTTCACACCTGTCAGAATGGCTAACATTAACAACTCAGGCAACAGCAGATGTTGGCAAGGATGCAGAGAGAGAGGATCTCTTTTGCGCTGGTGGGAATGCAAACTGGTGCAGCCACTCTGGGAAACAGTATGGAGGTTCCTCAAAAAATTAAAAATAGAACTACCCTATGACCCAGCAATTGCACGACTAGGCATTTATCCAAGGGATACAGGTGTGCTGATTCAAAGGGGCACATTCACCCCAATGTTTATAGCAGCACTATTGACAATAGACAAAGTATGGAAAGAGCCCAAATGTCCATCCATGGATGAATGGATAAAGAAGATGTGGTATATATATATAGTGGAGTATTCCTTGGAAATCAAAAAGAATGAAATCTTGCCATTTCCAACTATGTGGATGGAACTAGAGGGTATTATGCTAAGCAAAATCAGTCAGAGAAAGACAAATATCCTATGACTTCACTCATATGAGGACTTTAAAATACAAAACAGAAGAACATAAGGGAAGGGAAGCAAAAATAAAATAAAAATGGGGCGGGGGGACAAAAACATAGGAGACTTAAATATGGAGAACAAACTGAGGGTTACTGGAGGGGTAGTGGGAGGGGGGATGGGCTAAATGGGTGAGTGGCATTAAGGAATCTAGTCCTGAAATCATTGTTGCACTATATGCTAACTAACTTGGATGTAAAATAAAAAAATAAATTAAATAAAAACCAGACATTAAAAAAAGAGTGGTGAGTGGACTTTTTTGGTTTTTACTCTGAACTGACTAGCTTGGCTCAGCAGTAAAGGAGGGGAAAAAAAAGGCAATAATTCAAGAGTAAGGAGAAAAGATGGAGCTTCTGGCTCTAGTAACTTATGTTCAGAATAGTAACCAAACCAGGAGCACCCACAAAAAGAGACTTTGAGGATGATGTTCTCCTCCTCCCAATACTTTCTCCCCATGAAGTTGTGAGGTCCAGGAGGGCGAGGATCACATCCGTTTTACCTACCATCTCATCCCAAGGCTATAACAGTGCTGTGCAGCACATTACAGAAGACATTCACTTATTTATTGCATGGGTGAATAAATGATTCAGGCTGATCAGTCAGTTGGCAGGATCAATCCCCCTCTTTGTTCAAGTCAGTCCCTTCTTTGGCTTCTGTTCTCTGTCTGCCCAGTGGGAGAAGGTGTAGAATTAGACTCTCTATACAACCCCTTGATTCTAGGATCTTAGGATTCTCAGGAAACAGTCAGGATGCCCTCTACAAGGAACCAATGGAGGGGAAACCAAATTTACCGAGCACCCTGTGCTCAGATGACATGATCTCATATGAGTCTGAGTTGCCCAAATTGTGGAGCCCATTTCATGGGCCTCATCATTTTGTTTTAAAATTTGGGATAGAGAGATGGCAGCCTGGTAGGAGGACCCTAGGCTCAACTCATTCTTCCAACACAGCCAGATAACTATCAAATCATTCTGAATAACCAAGAAATCAACCTGAGAACTGACAGGATAAACTCCACACAACTAGAGGGAGAGAAGAGGCCACATTGAGAAAGATAATTTATAGGGAAATATGTACTTTATGGAATAAATTTAAAGAGCTGAAATATATTTTATTTTATTTTTTTTTAATTTTTTTTTCAACGTTTATTTATTTTTGGGACAGAGAGAGACAGAGCATGAACGGGGGAGGGGCAGAGAGAGAGGGAGACACAGAATCGGAAACAGGCTCCGGGCTCCGAGCCATCAGCCCAGAGCCCAACGCGGGGCTCGAACTCACGGACCGCGAGATCGTGACCTGGCTGAAGTCGGACGCTTAACCGACTGCGCCACCCAGGCGCCCCTGTTTTATTTTAAATAAAGTAACAGATCTTTAATCTTACACAGCTAAATTGCTGATTACATATTTGCTGAACTGACTGAAAGGTTTAGAAAACTGTATCGTGTTTTATTTACTTAGAGTTTATTTACTTATTTTGAGAAAGAGAGAGAGAGAGAGAGCACGCACGTGTGTGGGGGGTGGGCAGAGAAAAGGGAAGAGAGAATTCCAAGCAGGTTCCCCGCTGTCAGCATGGAGCCCTATGCAGGCTAGATCATGACCCAAGCCAAAATCAAGAATTGGATGCTTAACCTAGGTGACCCTTAGGAGGTTTTTTTTTTTTTTTTTTATTTCAAAGCCTTCTTAATAAACTTTTTTTTCTAAAAAAAATAAAATTTGGGATGAAAAATAACACTACCAATTTTTTATTTTGCCAAAATGAGGACATTAAGAAAGAACTATCATGAAACAAACTTAAGAACAAATTAACTATCATCAACATTTCTTTAAAAAGGAATTTTTACACCAAGAAAGCAGGAAGTACATAATCTCAGGAAAAAAAGAAAGAAGAAGAAGAACAACAGTGTCTCTCCTGGAAAAGACAGTTGGCAACGTTACATGATTACTTTTTTCTGAAGATAGATGCAAATTTCATCAGACTGGCCCCTGTGTAGGGTGTTGAGTTTGGAACCCACTGACAGAGATTCTTTTCAACCCCACCCCTTTCCCTTACATGCTTGGGAAGTTGGGGCTTAGTCTGCCCACTTTAGATGTGGGGAAACAGGTTCAGAGAGCCCAAGTGCAAGGTCACAGGGGTAGTAAATAAGTAGTCAGGGTTTGTCTGGGTGTCAACCCATATCATCTTGGCAGATCTTAAGCCAAAAATTATTCCCCTTCAGGGAAAGAAATGACCCTCACTGGCTTCCTTGGAATGCCCCCAGGGTGTTCTTGGGCCTGACCATGAGCTTGGAATAGGACGCTTTGCTCTTTAACACATCTTATTGATGTGCTCACTTCATGGCAGGTACGCGGAAGAGTGTAGGGAGGGAAACCGACATGTTCCCAGCCTCCTTCCCTCTTTTCCCCCATACTCACCCTGGATCTTGTTCTCCAGGCCCAACTCCTTCCGCTGGTGGCCAACGAATCCCTATCCCGGGCGTGGGATGCTAACACTTTAGGGGGTTCCCTCTCCCAGGGATGTTGGCAGTTTCCAAGGAGACTCTGGGAACCTTCAATGCCTCTAAGACCCAAAGGGCTGGAAATGTAATGGCGCAACCTGAGGCACTGTTAGGTTGTAGGGAAGGTGTACTGGGAGCAAGAGAGCAGTTCAAACCCTATCAAAATACTCCGTTCGCCCCTCCCCCATTCCCACGCGCTCTGCGGGGATCCACAGCCACGCAGCTCAGGTTGGAAGAAGGGGGTCCCCCAAGTCAGAGAACCTACTGTATAAAGGGATTATTGCTCAAGCTGGGGGACCCCTAGGTCCGTGCCCACCCCTCACACTGACTGCCGGTACCTGGAGCGCCCCTCCCCCGTTCCGCCCCGCCCCGCACGCTGGCGGCGGGAGCGCGCCTCCGCCAAGCCGCGCCGGTGCACGAGAGCGCGCGCCTCGGCGCGGGAACGCGCCCCGGGGAGAACCCGAGCAAGATGGAGGCCGCGCCGAGGCCGCCTCCTGGGCCGAGGCAGCCGCTGCTGGGAGCGCCGAGCCGGGGCGCCTAGGCCGTGCCAGTCCCGGACCCACTGCTCTGGACCGGGCCCAGGTTGGTCTCCCTGCACCCCGTTCCTGCGGCCGCAGCCTCCGCGCGCGTCCGGCCTGGGAGCCGGGCAGCCGCCCCCCACCCCCACCTCCGGCCCTACCCTGGCCCGGTAGCTCCCCAGCGCCCCAGGGATAGCCCCTGCCCACTGCCCGCCCCTCGAGGCCCGAGCTGTCTGCCGGCCCTGGTCCCTCGTCCCCTTGGCCTGGAAAACCTCTCTCCTTAGCCCTGGCCCGCCAATCCTAGGCTCCCCCCAGCCTACATCCAGTCCTGTCTTCTAGGGGACCCCCCAAAACCCCTGCCCCGTGTTCAGACTCTGCAGTCCCAGCGCCCGACTCCCCACTAGCCTCATCCTGATTCCTGCACTTCACCCTCCCTGTCCCAGCCCCCATTATCACCTTCCCAGGCCCCTGTGTATCCCCTTCTTATCCCCTTATAGAAGCACCAACCCCCCCCTCTCCACAGCGCTTTTCTAGACACCCAATACCAAACCTTTTACCCCTAATACCTGTCCCCCAATTCCCTTCCAAGCTCCCTATTTACAGCGCCTCTGTTAATATATCCCAATACCGGTCCTCAGCTTCCATTCTATCTCTCCATGGTCCCCTCCTACTCCCTCAATTCTGGTCCCCAGACCCCCTTCCCAACACCCCCATGACCACTTTCTAGTCAGCCCCCACTTCCATCTCCCATATCCACATCCCATCCCCCCCCATCCCAACCCCCCAACTTTCACATGGCCTCTTCCTAGGTCCAATCGGAGATCTTTGCCCCCTCTAGACACCGCCCCAACACTCAGGACCCTCTCCTAGCTCTTCCATACTACCCCCTGATTCCCCCCAGCTCCGCCCCAGGCTCCGCCCCGAGAGTTCTTTGGCTCAGGGCAGCTTCTCGCGTGCGTCCCCAGCTCCCGCCCGCCCGTCAGCCCGGCAGCCGGCGGTCGGTCCCGGGCCGGCGGCCCCCGCCAGCCGCCGTCGCCGCCGCCGGCCCCGCCCCCGGGCACCATGCTGCCCTCGCAGGAGGCCTCCAAGCTCTACCATGAGCACTACATGCGGAACTCGCGGGCCATCGGCGTGCTATGGGCCATCTTCACCATCTGCTTCGCCATCATCAACGTGGTGGTCTTCATCCAGCCCTACTGGGTGGGCGACAGCGTGAGCACCCCCAAGCCTGGCTACTTCGGCCTCTTCCACTACTGTGTGGGCAGCGGGCTGGCGGGCCGCGAGCTTACCTGCCGCGGCTCGTTCACCGACTTCAGCACCATCCCGTCCGGCGCCTTCAAGGCAGCCGCCTTCTTCGTGCTGCTCTCCATGGTGCTGATCCTCGGCTGTATCACCTGCTTTGCGCTTTTCTTCTTCTGCAACACGGCCACGGTCTACAAGATCTGCGCCTGGATGCAGCTCTTGGCAGGTAGGGGAGAGGTGGGGATGGGATCCCTAGAACCCTCTGACCCCTTCCAGGACCTCTTCTTGGAGGGGTCAGAGATAGATTCTGCTCTTCTATCCAAAGACACACCTCCTTGGCAGCCACTGGGGAGGGGATTTATGAGAGAGAGACACCTGGGAGCAGGAGGTAGAGCCTTAGAACTGGGTCTTTGAATGTGTGTGCTTGGATATGGGCAGACTGCATTTCGTGATGGGTTAGTGTTATGTTACAGTCTCTGAGAGTCTCTTTTGGCTGTCTTAAGGGAGATAATTATCTGAACGAGGAGTTACTCTAGGAGCGAGCAATTTCTGTTGTATCAGGAAAAGCATGAGATGAGGGAAATCAAGAGATGTAACTTTGACCTTTATCTTGGTGACATTATCAACTTGGGTGTTTCACTTTATTTCTCTGAGGCTGGGTTTCCTCATCTGTAAAAAAATGGAGAAGATTCCAAGAACAAATGAAATAGTATCTTGTAAACTTTAAAGTTCTATATTAAGATAAAGGAAGGTAATAGGAGGTTGTCTGTAGTGTCTATCTAGTGTTTGAAATGTGGGTGGTTGACAGAATTTGGCAACATGGAGGTCTTGGGAGGGCAGATCTCCACCTCCTACCCTCACCCAATGCAGGAAAGGTTCTGGTACTATGCCCAATGGGAATGAGTCCCTGAGACCCTTTGAAATGTTTAGCTAGGACAGACATCTTACCCTAAGAACCAGAGAAGGGACTTTTGGAAATAGGAACTGCTGAGACCGTATTCCAGGATCCATTAGTGTCCCCATCCCCACCTATCTTTTGATCGAAGGCAGATTTTGAAGATTCAGCAACTTGGGTATTTGCCTAATTGCAGGCAGGGAAGAAAGTTGGGCTGGGGAAAGGCCAAGATATAACAGGAATGGGGGAGGAGGGCTAGGAAAAGTTTGGAGCTCTCCAGGGATGAGAAAGAGAAGGGAAAATGTGATGAGGTGCAGTAGAGATGGTCTTTCAAAATAAGTACCTCAGGGCATTCAACAAGTGTGAGCCTCTTCAAAAGAGACTCCCTACAGGAGGTGTTATATCACTTGCTGATAATTCCACTGCTCAAAACATTTGGAGTGTGAGGTGTGTTCTCTTGAACATCATCATTGACGGAAACCTCCATCTTTTAAAGGAAGAATATGACTTTTGGAAATGGCTGAAAGTCACTTAGGGCCAAGTATAGAAAATACAATAGGTGATCAAATTGGGAGTTGTCACCTGTGATGAGAGCCAAGGTATGAAGGCAAAATCATGAGGCTGGTTTGCTTCCCCAAGAGGACTTTTACAAGTAGAGAGAGGAATTACTGTCCCATTGGAAGGGTTTTCTCTACTCTCAAAAGGACTACTTTGAAGAAAGCTGTGTTAATTCAGAGGAAGACATTCTAATGAGCTTGTTTCAAATCTGTCTCACTCCATCTACTTAGATGTGGGTCTTTTAGGACCTTTGAAGTTGAGGAAGAAGAATTGTAGTGTGTGGGAGATATCTCTCCATATTTCTCCATGGTACCCAGAGGTGATTTTATCTATTTTCATTCTATTTTCTCCAAAAGCAAGCGGGAAAGAATATATTCTCATCTGGAATTCTCAGTTCCTCAGCCTTAATTTGGAGTCTGCAGATGGGTTGCTGACCTCTTGACCTTCCAAGTCTCTATAATTTATGTGGGTTTAATCTTTGGGATTTGATGAAGTGTCCAATAACCTTGTGTAATTATAGAATTTCAGGGATCATAGAGATAAGCTCCTTCAAACCCCACCCTCCCAACCCTTCCATTTTAAAGAGAGGAGATTAAAACTAGAGAAAAGGTCTGACCCAAAGTCACACAGCCAGTAGTGGAGTAAACTAGGTCTTGACTCCCAGCCCGGTGCTCTTTCCCTTGTGTTGTTGCCCCACCTGAGGGCTGAGGAGGCCAGTTAGCAGAGTTGAACAGTTTATTCCATTTTGCTTAGAGATTTCTGAGTTCTCTGGGTAAGTGACTGATCCACTTTGTTTAATAAAGTGACAACAGGACAGAAGCCAGAGCACTGGACTGTGAGTCATGGGATAGGGTCTTGTCTGACTTTGTCTGGGTGATTCACCCTGCAATATTAAGCACTTGTTTTTAGCTTAAATCTAAGTTTTGTCACCCTTACAGTGGGAGACTAACCAGTTACATTAGTGGATTGAAAGTATCTCTTTCAGGCCTGTGGGTCTCCTAAAACAACTCTTTCACCAAGATCATTTTATTCAGAAAGTAAGAAATCGGTCACTCTCAGAGGAACCACAGAGCAGTAAAGGGCCTTGTTTATATCAGGTAAGAATTAGAATTCTTGTTCAAGTGAACTTTTATTCAAGTATTTTAGGCTCTTTTTTAAAAGTTTATTTATTTATTTTTGAGAGAGAGAGAGAGAACAAGTGGGGAAAAAGCAGAGAGAAAGAGGGAGAGAGAGAGAGAGAGAGAGAGAGAGAGAGAGAGAATCCCAAGCAGGCTCAGCACTGTGGAGCTCAGACTCATGAACTGTGAGATCATACCTGGGCTGAAGTCAGATGCTTAGCCAACTGAGCCACCCAGGCACCCCTATTTAGACTCTTCTAAGTGCAGAACACTGAACTATTGGGAAGATGTAAAGATACCTATTCCTTTATTTATTCTTTACTTATTCTGTGATCATCCCTGTGCTAGCTGCTGCAATACCGAGATCATCCTGGTCTCCAGGGATTTAGGCTATACAGTGCAATTCTCGCTCTCAGGAAGCTTACCATCTAGTTGGATCGCTATACTGGGCAGTATTCATTCAATGACAAGTGACAGAAACCCAACTCAAGATGGCTTAAATAAATAAAAATAAAATAAAATAAAGAGGGTGGGGTTTTGGCTCACATAACTTAAAAGTCAAGAGTATCTTGCCTCAGGGGTGCCTGGCTGGCTCAGCTGGTATACTGTGTGATTCTTGATCTCAGGGTTGTGACTTCAAGCCCCATGTTGGGTTATAAAGATTACTTAAAAATAAAATCCTAAAAAAAAAAAAAATACTATCTTGCTTCAAGCAGAGATGGATCCAGACACTCAAATAATGCCATTTAGAATAGGTCTGTCTCCATTTCTTGGTTCCATCATTTTAAAGTCCACTTCTCTCTTGAAGGTGATAAATAAGGCTACTAGCAGCTCTGAGTTTATACTGCTTTAGCCTAGCAATGCCTGTGGGAAAAGGACATCTGTTAGTGGTTCCAGCAAAATTTCAGGGCTGATTCTCATTGGCTCAGCCTTTGGCCACAGGTTCATCACTTAGTTAACCAATGTGACTTTGTCTAAGGCCTCAGTCACATGCCCACATTGACGGATAGTGGAGACAGGTCACTTCCTAAAAAGGGAAATAAAGTGTGACCTCTGATAAGACAGGTACAGAAAGAAGCCTCACTCTGGAGGGTCTGAGCACTAATATATGCTGGATCATAAATGCTGTGGAAACCCAGGGCACTTGAGGAGGTGGCCCTTTAGTTGGCAGGTGAGGCTTGAGTGGAAAGTGAGGGTGTGGACGGGTGTGAGGTGTGGGAGAACATTCTGAATGGAGAGGAAGACCATGGGCAGAGACACAGAAGTGAGAAAGTCACATCAGCCTTGAGTGTGACATCCATATAGGGGAGCAGTGGGAGGAGAGGTGAGGAAGAAATGACGGGGTTACAGTGTGCCAATCTCTGAATACTGTGTCGGATATTTGGACTTTAATCAGTAAGCAGTTCAAAGCTACTACAGCTATTATTATTATTTTGGAAAAATAGTTAACATTTCTGAGCCTTCATTGTATGCTCGGCCATGTAAACATTTATATGCAGGGGACGCCTAGGTGGCTCAGTCGGTTAAGTGTCCAACTCTTGATCTCAGCTCAGGTCTTGAGCTCGGGGTCGTGAATTCAAGCCCTGCATTGAGCTCTGCACTGGGCGTGGAGCTGACTTAAAAAATAAGAAAATAAAAATAAATAAACATTTACATGCATACTATTATTTAATCCTCACAACAGTCTATGCAGTAGGTACTATTATTACTATTTTGTAGATGAGAACACTGCGCCTCAAAGAGGATTCATTTGTCCAAGATGATAAGTGGCAGAACTAGGATTGTAACTTGGTCTGTCTGACTCTAAAGCCCAAGGATTTATGAAGGATTTATAAAGGAGCATTAATGATGGGAGCAGTGGTGGGAGGTTTTTGGCATAAGACTCGAATGTTAAGTGGAGAGGCTGTAAGACCCACGTGGCTCTTCATGGAGTTAGTGGTCACTTCTCATGGTATCTCTGCTACTCTTTACCTGGTCTTTCCTACTTAGAGAGAACACACAATGTGCCAGCTTCCGGGCTAGACATTTTCATATCCATTATGTCATTTACTCTTCATCTGTTGAAGCGACTTGCCCAAAGGTCACACTTCTGGCAAAAGGTGGAGCTGAAACTTAATGCAAGTCTAAATGGATCTAGTACCTCTTCTTACCACCAAATTGGAACCTGGGGGAGGAATACAGAAATTACAAGGTACGGCTGTCAGCTCTCTGTCAGCTCTCTCTACCCAGTGTTTACCTGTGGGCTGGGTGAGGTTAGCCAAGTGGGGGTTGCTGGCTGGAGTAGAGACGCAGGCTGGAAGCCTGGTTGAGAGTCCGAGGGGGCAGAGTAGGGTAGTGGTTTAGAGCAGAGGACTTAGAATTCTCTCTCTGTTCCTTCCCAGACGTGTGCCCCTGTATAAGTGGGTTTCCTCTCTGTGTCTCAGTTTTCTTTTCTGTAAAAAAGAGATTATTATTATTTTTTAAGATTTCATTTTTAAGTAATCTCTATACCCAGCATGGGGCTAGAACTCAACCCGGGGATCAAGAGTTGAATGTTCCACTGACTGAGCCAGCCAGGTGCCTTGGGGAGATTATTACTGTACTTATCTCAGAAGTGGTAGAAAGAAATAAACACAATGTTGGGTGTAAATCACTGAATGTGTTCCTAGTGTACAA